ATTCACTAATGACATACTGCCGTCTTCTTTCCTACCTCCAGTATTTAGGTGCATGGTCCAGATGTGTTATTTGTAATATTCGTACTTCTTCTTTCTACTAGTTCTTTCCTCTTTTTTTGTTTATTTTTTTAACAGTTGCAGCTCTCTAGTCGGCAGGAACAAAGGCGTCCAAACTGTTTCCCTTGGAGACGGCTGTGTTTACGTCGGTGTTGTTATTCACGAACTGATGCACGCTGTAGGTTTCTGGCACGAGCAGAGCAGAGCAGACAGAGACGATTATGTAGAGGTCCAGTGGAATAATATTCAAGAAGGTAGGCATTAAAATATCTGAAAAAAATCAGAACATCCAAATACTAAAATATTCAAAACGATAGTCCTTAAAAGACTCAAAAATGTAAGTGTTAAGCATCCAGGAAGAATGCCGTTAAAACACCCGCGAAACTATATTTAAAATGAGATTAATTTTACGAATACAGCATATCATGTATTTCTGTAATTGTATTGAAACATAACACTGTCTGTGTTTATAATAATTAATAAAAACACATTTCACTCATTTTCAACTGAAACATTATTTTTATCTTTTTCATGATAATGATGAAAAGATCAAAACAGTTTAATTTGAATTCCTAGCTCCATTTGCTTGACTTTTGTAATAGTTATCAGGCATAAAATCTCTAATTATATTATATACATTTGGTAGGAATGGCGTATAACTTTGCTAAATACACCTTAAAGAAAATTCAGCACCTAGACGAGCCTTATGATTACGAATCTGTTATGCACTACAATGAATACGCCTTTGCTAGAAGCCAGTATCAGCCAACAATAAGACCTCTCGAATCTGGAGCTACCATTGGCCAGAGGCGAGGATTCAGCCAAACAGACATAAGGAAAATTAACAAGTTATATAGTTGTGAGACCAGAACAACGAAAACCACAGCTGCTCCAGGTAATCGTTTCTTAGTTCAAGTAATGCTTTCTTATTTTAAAGATTAATCTAGCCGTCTATTAACCTAAAGGGTTATGGTTCATAAAACACGTAGGTTCAAGAAGTTTGATACAAGATGATAAAAACCCTATAACCCGAGCGACTTCGAAAGGTGGACCTTTTTTCTTCAGGGGCAAACTTTAGTGACTGTTATATCTGTATATCACTAGGTTTACAGGTCTTGTCTCTAGATATGTAAGTCCACATCCTAAAGATTCATTAATGACTGTTATATCTTTATATCACTAGGTTTACAGGTCTTGTCTCTGGATATATAAGTCCACATCCTAAAGATTCATTAATGACTGTTATATCTTTATGTCACTAGGTTTACAGGTCTTGTCTCTGAATATATAAGTTAAGATCCTAAAGATTCGTTAGTGACTGTTATATCTTTATATCACTAGGTTTGCAGGTCTTGTCTCTGGATATATAAGTTCACATCCTAAAGATTCGTTAGTGACTATTATATCTGTATATTACTAGGTTTGCAGGTCTTGTCTCTGCATATATAAGTTAAAATCCTAAAGATTCGTTAGTGATTGTTATATCTGTATATCACTAGGTTTGCAGGTCTTGTCTCTGCATATATAAGTTAAGATCCTAAAGATTCGTTAGTGACTGTTATTTCTGTATATCACTAGGTTTACAAGTCTGGTTTCCAAATATATAAGTTCACATCCTAAAGGTTCGTTAGTGACTGTTATATCTGCATATCACTAGGTTTACAGATCTTGTCTATCTTAGAATTCAGAATTCAATGATATAAAAGTCCGACCTTCATCTTTTCTAGTGGCACAGTGTGCTGACAACGATAAAAACTGTGGAATATGGGCTGGTCAAGGAGAATGTAAGAAAAATCCAGAGTGGATGCTAGTTAACTGTAAAATGTCGTGTGAACAATGCGGTATGTATTTAAGTGTGAACAGAAAATATCACCACTGGTTAATAATGGCTGGAGACG